CAGAACACATGAGAACGGCTAGACAAACCATAGATAGAACACATGAGAACGACTAGACAAACCATAGACAGAACACATAAGATCAGCTAGACAAACCATAGACAGAACACAAGAGCAAGACTAGACAAACATATAAGAACACAAGAGTACAACTAGACAAACACATAGAGGAACACAAGAGCACGAGAAAACCATAGACAGAACACACATGAAGACAGAACAAACACATAAACTCAAACCAAAGACAGAACACATGAAAACAGACAAACCAACAAACACATAGACAGCAACACACATGAGAACAGAACCATACATGTCATAGACAAACCATAGACAGAACACATAAGATCAGCTAGACAAACCATAGACAGAACACAAGAGCAAGACTAGACAAACCATAGACAGAACACAAGAGCAAGACTAGACAAACCATAGACAGAACACAAGAGCACAACTAGACAAACCATAGACAGAACACAAGAGCTCAGAACATATAAGGCTATAGACAGAACAAATAAAAGCAACACAGAAAACTAACAAACAAAAACACATGAGAACAGAACAACAAATTATAGACAGAACACATAAAAGCAACATGTCATAGAAAACTATAGACAGAAACACATGAAGACAGAACGACACGCTATAGACAAAACAAATAAAGGCAATGCAGCAAACCATAGACAGAAACACATGAGGTCAGAACGACACGCTATAGACAGAACAAATAAAGGCAACATGGCAAACCATAGACAGAACACATGAGGTCAGAACGACACGTCATAGACAAAACATATGAAGACAGAATGACAAGACAATATACAGAAACACATAAAGACAGATTAACAGATCCTAGACTGAGTACATAATGAAGACATGTCTAGAACAAAAGACTTGAGACAGAAGAACAAATGAGCACAGAACGACACACTATAGACAGAACACACGAGGTCAGAACAACACGCTATAGACAGAACATATGATAACAGAATGAAACACCATATGCAGTACAAATAAAACAACCATAGACTGAACATATGAGGAGGAAACGACACGTCATAGACAAAACATATGAAGACAGAACGACAGACAATGGACAGATACACATAAGGACAGATTAACAGATCCTAGACTGATCATATAATGTGGACATGACTAGAACAAAAGACTTGAGACAGAAGAACAAATGAGCACAGAACGACACACTATGGACAGAACGCGTGAGGACAGAACGACACACTATAGACAGAACGCGTGAAGATGGCTACAAACTGCCTTGTCAGAACACATGAGGACAGAACAACAGATTCTAGACAGAACACATGAGCTTCATGAGAACAGAACGACACACCAATTACAGAAATATAAAGACAGAACTTAAGTTTGTTATGTACCACCTTGTTGCTTTCGCTTTTATATAACTATCTGTTTTGCATAAAGGTCTGTTCAATGACTACGCTTTTCAGATCATCTTTAGGTCTACTGCCAAACAAAATGATGTTACAAGGATAACAACAATTCCAAGTCAACCGCGTGGCGCAGTGGTTAGGAGGTCTGCTCTAAAGTCGCAAAGTGAGGAGTCAATCTTTACGTGACTCCTTACGTCGCGGGTTCGAATCCCACTGTGGGACGTGGAGAACCGGTCCTTCGGATGATACGTATAAACCGAGGTCCCGTGTCGCAGTAGGTGCTGGCACGAAAAAAATCCCTCCCTGCTCAATCGCCCTGAGTGCCGAGTATAGGACAAAATTTACAGCTCTCAAACGGCAAGTGGTGGCGTCTCCATATGAGTGAAAAAATCTCGAGAGGGACGTTAAACAAAATACAATCAATCAATCAATTCCATTTAAAATTAGCAGTTCTATGGTCGTTTATAATACTTTTTAACAGATTTTACCTGTCATGGGTTGTGTTAATTACTGTTCATTATATTCACCTATTGTTTAAATAATAATAATGCTGTTTTTCGTTTATATGGTATTTTTTGTCAATTCATCATTTACGGAAATTTCAGTCGGTAGAGCGCCCATTTCGTGACTAAGATGTCGTGAGTCCGAATCTCGACTGGCGACTGGTCTAAGTCGATAAAAATGGGAAGCAGCTGTATCTTTGTCATACGCTCGGCACTTTGGCGGAAGTGAAAGTTGCGGGTCCTTCGAATGAGACTTTAAAAACCGAGTCCTCCTTTTACATCAGGCGTTGAAACGATAAAGATCCCTCACTGCTGAATGGCTTAGTCAAAATTTGAAGCCGTCACCGGTTTCTGTGACGTCTCTCTCTATATATTATATATAAGTGAAATATTCTCAAATGGAACTTTGACATTCAATTAATCAATGTACATAGTCAAATCCGCTACCAGCAACAGTTTATGATAAAAATCTTAGATTTGATTTCAAGAGTTACAAAATATCAAGAGTAGACTACAATGGTTAAGGATACCGCTTCATCAAGCTAGAAATGTACTTTAGCCACCTTCCTCATCACGGATTGCTAATCGATTTGTTTCTGAAAGTAGGAGAAAAAGCTTTTTCTCCATGCCGATAAAGAATTCCTAACGATTTCATGTCAGAAGTCAGTATAGAAATGACGCTTTAAGAGAGAGAACGACGGGATATTTAGAAATAAATGCATCCAAAAACTTGTACAAACCGTTAATGGTAATTTACGTGTTAAGGTTTTGTCTTCGTAAATGTGACATTACGTAGCGAGGTTATTTAAGATACCTGTAAATAAAGATGACGATACACTGTCGTGACAATATCGATAAAGACCTTAAGATCAATTCATTTAGGAGGAAACTTTTTGAAGTTGTATAGTTCATGGCTAAGTCGGCGTTTCTATTCTTTGTACAGACATTTAATTCCGGAACTAGCTAGAGGCAAACTTCCTTAAGATTGAAAGAACATGACATTTTTTTAAAAATGCATATAAGAGCTTCATGTTTTTTACAGATATTTTCATTCTTGACGCATTTCATTCAGTTTTAGGGGTTAAGAAAGGACTTTGATTGTTGCAAGCAACAACTGCAAAAGAGTATATTTGGTTGAATGCGTGTTATTTCGTTAGAGTGAAGTTGCTTCACTATTTGTTTTAATTTCATGGTCGAGCTGATCGACACGTGAGTAAAACACGAACTTAACACAAACAAGAGTCAAACTTTCACGAAAAACTTACACACATGAGTCAAACTCGTGAACTCGCAAACACAAGAATCAAACTCGCGAATTAAGAGTTAAAAGAGAATTCAAAACTCCTCCGAAGAGATATTATCCAGTTCCAACCTAATAACTATCAGGCTGAACGCCAGTTGGTTTCAGTTTATGGATATAACGATTTGTCAAACCAACTTTAAATATTTATCATATTGTTCATTAAGTATTCATTAAAGATCTTATATAACTTCTATTTGACACATCTTTAATTGCTATTTGTAATTTTGTATATATCGCAATTCCCTTAGAAAGCGATATTTTTTTCTCTGTGTGCAGAACTCTTTAAGCAATAGAATTCTATCGTTTGACATCGATCACTAAACATCTCTAATATTACGCGCCATTATTGCCATATATCGTCTGCTACTTTGTGCTAGCCAACATGGTTAATTATTTGATCAAAGTCGATTTTAAGATTGATGGTCATCTGAAATCGATGACAAAATGGCCATTTACGAGCAGACGACAATGTAAGTTTGTCAAAGAACAAAACCTTGAGATTCCTGCTGATGACGTAAAAATATCCGAAATCTGTCGAGAAGCAGACGATGGGTGTCCTCGGGATTATCATTTTAAATAACTTCTTATCGACCTGTTACACAATCAATAGAGTTGAGAATAGCCATAGTAATTATGTTTATTCCTGAAATGAACCCGAGCAGAAAAACTCGATCGAGAATCAATCTTCTGTCGAATTCGATTCCAATACAATATGTAAAGGGTTGAATTAAGGTAAAAATAGCAAGTTTTTAAATAGATAATAAATCACATGTTAATCCAAAATATTTTTCAAACGAGACTTTAATAAATATGGATTAATTCAACTTCATACTTCAACTAAACAATTATGGTCTTCATTATACAAGTACATGTGTATATCAAATAGAAGAGCACAGACATTTTTGGACCAGCAATGCCTGAGATTTTTGCCTGATTTTTTTAAAAAACCTCTCTACATGCAAGTGTAATAATGATTTTTATATTTAAAAAAAGACGCGTTTGCATGTACATAGATTGATTCAGAAAGGAAAAGTACACTGCGGCTTGTTATTGGCTTATCATTTTTTCTCCCCTGCACAGCATCGATGTTGTTTAATAGCGGAGTGTTTATATTTTATTATACAATAATTGAATCGAGGATGCGACACCAAATCGCGTCCCCATTATGACACTAATTCGGCATCTCTAGGCGGGAAGGCGATGATTCGTGTGATTTGAACAATCCATAACATAAGCTGAAGGCAATAGCTTGCACTCGTCTCCATATCGAAATGTCACTCACCCAAAGGCGTAAATTAATAGATATATACATATACTCTCTCACAAAATAAGGGGAAATGCAGGTACCCGGAAGACGACAGGCAGTAAACGTTCGTCTTTTTCTAAATATTAAGCTAGTATGATTTTTAAAGTATGAGACTGGCATAAAAAAATCAACACACAGTCATGTGCAGTTACAAGGCAGGTGCGCAGTGCCTTGCAAAACACAAGTATCTGGGTAAAGAGACTAAAAAAATTTATTTTTAGATAAAATGTCTTTAAAATATAATTTAACAGTACTATTATTCAATTTATATGAGAGATGAAAATTGAAGAAATATTAAACGCCATTAAATACAGATATAATTCATGAACTACATTATGATAATAAATAAAACAAACCTTCCTCATGTTCCTATAAAGATATAGTTACGTTAATAATAACTCACTCATTTAAAGGTATTGGGGGTCACCGAGGGACAGAAGTTAGATTTTTTGGAAGCTGTGGTTCTTTACTTGAATTACCTTATCCTCTGTTGCTCCTCTTGCTGCATGGTTTTGGCCCTGCCGATAACGGAGCGGATGGTCCGGATTTCATCCTCTGACAGGTGGCTGAGATCCGGTTCCGGGGGCTCGGTCGGCGTGGGGAGTCGGGTGGAGGAGACGGAGGAGCGCCTCTTGGAGCCCACGGAGTAGACGGACTGCCATTCCGAGGACGGGGAGACTGGGGTGTTAGCCTCCGAGGGGACACTGCTTGTATCATTCCCCATCACACAAAATAATAACTTCTCCCTACCGCGAGATAGCAAATGTAACAAGCCCCTGGCTCCGTGGACATTGTAAAGGAAGTATGCAAATAGAAACCACGTAAATCCGAGAAACACAGAATGGTTCAGGCATATTGCTGGAAGAATCCAGAATTGTACACGAGTTATCCATATTGTATTAAGGTGGCTGACTATGAGATTGAAAACGAAAAAATACAACACTACCATTGATTCGGGGGGATCCGCTCTAAATAAATCCCCCGATTATCTGTCGTACATCTTTTAGAAGGCCCGATTTCTCCATATTGACCGCCAGATGAGGCTCCCCGGCTCGGAAACCCGCGTATTGATTTTACTTGGCAATTTTCAATATTTTTCTTCCTTTTTCTCTTCTTTTGCGATCGTATGCCATGGCTAAAGGTCTTGGGCTTTCGTGCATCGGGGCTTCGCCGTCAAATCCCATTTGCCATTTATTATGCACTCAAAACACAGACCACAAACATCCCAGACACGATTCACGAATTCTTAATACAGAGGTAGACTAAATGGTAGTACAATTCTCTGACTGAATGGTTGTCCCAATTATTGCTGAAGAATTGGTTTTTCTGAACTAAATTACTTTAATCAAAAATGGGATTTCAATTATAACCCTATTTCTTTAATGCAGTGTTTACACGGGCCGATGGTTAACGGGATTCCGTATGAGAATTCTTGTATTGATCCATACCGCCATTTGTAATTCAGAAATGGAAATTTATCGATTTCCAAGAAAATGGTTCTACACGCCAGCTGACATGCGCGAACAGTCGCTTCTTTTGGAAGCACGTGGAGGTTGTTAATAAGTATTGAGCAATCTGCAGGCAATTAATTGATTCCTTAATTGCTTTGCATAATTAAAAATATTGGTTTAGAAATATTCTGTCCTTGTGTTGCATTCAAATATAATAAAGACAACATCTACAGGAAAACAACAGCGGCCAAAAAACGGGAGATAATCACGTGGACTTTGTGTATCCTCGGCGACATGAAGTCTCCTTAGATTGTGTATCGATCAGTCAGCGTAAATTAACAGTGAAATCGATCTGCTCACGTAACAGGAAAACACTGAAATTCAATAAGTGACCCCAATTCACTCGCTGTATCAAATAATGTCAACAGTAATTGTTATTGTAGAAATGCTGGAGAATTTTTGAATTAAGTTTGCATCTTGCATCTCTAATCAATTCGAACAAAGAAAAAAAATTTTAGTTCTTCTTCTTTTTGCGTCCTTTGCGGTAAATGTCATGTCTAATATATTTTTTTTCACCCTGATAAGCATGATATGAATACCCTTACATGCATAAAAAATTATGCAAATATGAAAAAAGGTTTTCTTTGTTTGGTAGATATACTTGTTTCGCACTAAATGGATGTAGCACAGTGGACTTTGTTATGGTCTCAGAAGATATTTTGAATGATATATTGTATTTTAGATTTTCTGATTTTTTACCCACATTGTCTGATTGTCACTGTTTATCACAATGGTCACTGTCTGCTAGATTCTCATTTAAGTCAGAAAATAAGGCTATTGATAGTAAATACATTTCCACATGTTCCAGTATCTCCAAACTATATTTGGTAAGAATTTTGATAAGATGGATAATGATCAAAAACTAATATGGTTAATGACCAATGAACATGTTGAAACTCTAACTCAAATTTGTAAAATGATTCAGAACAATGGAATCTGATTTCTGTAGAATTGTATCTGTTTGCACTACATTTCAAGTTATATACTGGGATCCTGTCCTGACTACTTGGGGTACAAGACTGACAGTCTGTATTGTCATACTGTTCAATAGGCACTGTCCCTTGGTGCCCCAGGTAGTCAGGCCAACAAATTAAGTTTTCCTCCTACAAGCTGTTTTGGTTGCTTAGGGTACAAGACCGAGCAACCTGCTTTTTCATTTTGTCCAGACTGCTCAATAGGCATTGTCCCTTGGTACATTATGCTACCAGGCCTAGGCCAACAAAATATATATACTTTTTGTAATAATATGATTACATGTACTTGTTTGCTATTATCCGCCTGGTCATTGCAGTATAAAGGAGCTTGATATTTTTTTTTTCTTTCATCATATTGTATTATTATTATTATTATATTATACGTAATGCTTACATGTACACTGTGAACTATACCAGGATTTCAAATCTGAAAACTTTTACAAGTGAGGATCAAGTCAATTTTGCATTGTTATAATCATGATTATATTGTTTGTTTCTTAATTGTATATGCCCCCAGAGGACCCTTCATTGGTGAATAAATAAATAATAATATAGATACAATGTACATTACTAGCTGCATGGTTACGATGATGTATGCTCAATAATTTTACATCAAACATGTCAAATATGAATATGAATACAGCTCCGTTTTAAAGGAGCTCACTCGGAATTTTTTTTTTTTTTTTTACTATTTTTAAGAAGAAGGTATGGTTTTAGCTTTATTGCGCCCTAAAAATATAATGACATGAAAAAATTTTGAAACTGGCTTAAATATTAGTTAAATAAATGACTCTGATAAATCAGGAAAGAATATGGCATGAAGGTATACCATTCTGCAAATATGACATCATAAATGTGAAGCATTTCTCTCTTTTTTGTTCAACATTTGATGAAAAAGCCTCAATAATGGCACATTTCAAGGGTAATTTTCCTTTTTTAGAAAACAGTGTCCACAGCCGTCGCCCACATTAATTTTTTGATATTTTGTGCAAAATGCAATAATAAATCACATATCTCAAGATCTTTGTGGGCGATGCCTGTGGACAATGTTATCTGAAAGAAAATTCCATTGAAAATTGGTGTCTTTTGCAATTTTTAAGAAAATACGGGAAAATGCACATGTTTATGACGTCATAATTAGCATTTAAAAACACATGAGAGAAAAATTTCTGCCTTGAATTTCAATTATTTAAAAAGCATGAGTTTTCAACTTTTACACCAGTTTCATTTTTTAGAAAATCACAGGGCAAAATTTGAATGGAAACCATACCTTCTTCTTTTCTTTTAATTTCGAATTTAATTTGAGAAAATTGGAATAATATAAATCTGTACGTTTTGAAGTTTAACTAGTTCATTTTTAACAGCTAGAGGGTACCTTCATGCCATTTCCCCCCCAAAAATGGGGAGAAATCCTGAATGGAGCATTTATGAATATATCCAGAAAACATTGTCTAGTGTTTACTTATATTTGGAAAATAGAGACGAATATTTTTATTTACTTTATCTTGGTTTATAGATGATAGATGTATTATTAAGAATACTGTAATACTTCTAATGTTTCTAAATTATCTTACTTATGAATAAGAGTTACCGAAATACAACCATACAACATGCCGCAATTTCACTGTCTCAATGCGATATTTTTTTCAACGAACTGCAATATACTGAAAACGATTATATTTCACAATCTTGTTATTTATTGTTCTGAATATTTCATCTGGTCAGATCTCTAATACTACATAAATTACAATGGCTTCATGTCAATGCATACAGCATCTATATTCAAAGAGAAATAACTCTCTCAACTATACCCGATAAGTTCTATAAAATCTGCACGCAGCTAGGAGTTGTCCTCCTTGAATCGGTTAGAGATGATGTGTTCATAAATTTCCAAACTGAATAAATCGAACACAACTTGTGGTCAGGCGAATGAAATTACATATTGCTCTGACAATATCTTCAGGTTTTTGTATCAGTACATGTACAAGGAATACTTACTACTGAAACAAGACGAAAGTCCAAATAAATTCGCTCTAAAAGCGCATATATACACTTCATTTTGCAATAAATAAATGATTTTGAAAATAAAAAAAAATACTTAAAAAAAATATACAACTTTCTGAAATCATTTTTGAATAATTCTTCGCACTCATAGGCGCACCCATATACTTTTGTAGATGACGAAATGATAGTCCACATAAAGTATCTATAGGCCTAGGTCTACATATAGGTCTCTATATACTATAGAGGGTAGACCTATAGATATGTAGACTATCATTTCGTCTCCTACAAAATGGGATAGGATCGTACATTTTGGCCGTGGTTTACGGCGACGGAACAGACCATAAGCACGATCGAATAATTATATGGCTTCCGTTCTTTAGCAAACTTAAAATTTGGGTGGAATATGGACATAAAAAATTTCATTAGCTTGAAATCTGGACTCTCTCTTGACCTCAAAGCGGCCTTCAACCCCTTGTTTGCATATTTGGGCATCCAAATCAAAAGTACACATGTACCCTGGTTACGCCCCTCTAAAGAAAGGAGGCTGGGCGCGGACGCAGACCTTTGATCATCACTGAAGACTTAGTGTTGCATGCTCTCAACGTTGTAGAGGTTGAGGGAAGGAAGATGTAGTATTAATGTAATAGATTATTTTTTTGTGTTTTTACTTTAGAAAATGTTCAGTGGGAGGCTTATGTTCTCATGGGTGGATACCGGATTTATGATTAGGGGCGGGGGGGATAACTGTTGAGGCAAGGGGTCTGGGGCCGCCTTAAGGTCCCCAGTGGGTCCAGGGTGAAGCCCTGTTGGGGCCCAGGGGGCGAAGCCCCCGGATTTTTAGAGTAATACCAGGCACAATAATAGTATATATTTTTCATTTATTTTTGTTAAAAGTGACATATAGGTCCGGGTGTTTGAATATGTAATGTATTGAGTGTTTCTCCGTGTATCGTATTATAAGAGATGCCATTATAATAAACTATTAACTTACTTACTTACTTAATTACTAATAGTGCATGGTGATGTCTAATTTTGTACCAAAGTACGGCATTATTATCACTAGTAGTCATATCATATTTAGAATGGTGACCTGGGGGACGAAGCCCACGGAAGCTCCTTAGATTTCGTGTATTTTAAAGAGAAAAACCAGGAACAATAAAAGTGGTATAGGTTAGTTATGTACCAAAATATGGCATTATTGATATATTAAGTAACATCATACTTTGAAAATTTTAGGGGAGGTGCGCCCCCCACGCTCCCCCTTTAAATCCGCCAGTGGTTCTAATATAGATCGTATAGAAATTCGATTGTGAAAACAAATTTAAAAACTATACTCTACCCTGAATCCTATTCATTGGGTTTATTAATTTTTCAACCCCACCTTTTAAAAAATTCTATATCCGCGCATAAGTATCAATCCATAAATCAAATACTTTTTTTTCCAATGATTAATTCATTGATTTTAAATAAAAATTCTTCTGCTACTGTACCGGGTAATATAATCAGGGATTTTAATGATTTATCCGGAAAAATATTCGGCTCCAAGTTGATTTCTACATTCATTGGCGCCAAATCCGACATCAACACTGGCTGCGATCTTCGGATGGAGAAGGACCGTACACAGTACACAGACAGTCACAAAAGAGACTGTGTGGGGCAGTGATCGTTTTATGTGAGTAGCTCATCGTGTGTACAAGTTCAGTGTTCAATAATGATCCACAAGTTATTGTTGAGGTTGTTTTGAACGTTTACAGGAAACTGACGTTGGAGTTTGACATTTCGGGAAACAGTACGAAGGACCCACAACATGACGGAAGTCAAGGTAATTCGACTCACAGCAGTAGGAATGTTGTTAAATCTTATATTTATATTTAAAAGCCGGAGAACACGTGTAAGTAACAATATTTTCAGTGGATTTATAACAGTGACACACACAAAATTAGACTTTTAGCATGTCCAGTGCAATTAAATATTGTTTGATTGATTGTATATTGTTTAACATCCCTCTCGAGAATTTTTCACTCATATGGAGACGCCACCACTTGCCGATGGAGAGCTGTAAGTTCTGTCCTATATTTTGCACTCAAGGCCATTAAGCGGTGAGGGATCTCTTTGTGCCAGCAACTACTGCGACATGGGACCTCGGTTTATACGTTCTCTAATCTCATCCAGCCTCCACTTCCCACAGTGGGATTCAAACTGTGTCGTAAGGATGACAGATCAACTCCTTACTTAGCAACTCTAGAACAGATGCTCTAACCACTGCGCCATGCGGGTGACAACAATAAAATAAAAAGTACATGTGCTTGAATCAATGACATATGAACGTTACAGTAAGTTAACCTTAAAAGCTTGCACTCATTAGCTGTTTATCACATGCAATACCGAAGAAGTAGGAGTGGAAAATATAGTGATCCGACAAGTTTAACCACAGGTAGCAAAACTGTTGCTTATTTTATCTACCCACGGAGCTATCTAGGCCGATATCCACGGCCCAAACCATTACATAACAATTAATTGTATATTTTAGCCCAAGGGATTGTCTTTGAGACCAGTAAATGTGGAGAACAAAGGGCAGATAACCTCTCTGATGGGTAAACAATTTTAGTATATCTAACATTTCTTGACCTAATTTAGTTAAAGACACAGTTATCTAGCCTTTATCACTTAATTATCCATGCTGTGTATTCTGAACAGTTGTTATTGAATTCATTCATTCTATTTCTTGTCATGATTTTATGTTTTGTGAAGGTAAGATGAAGTTGGAGCCCCAGAAGAAAGCTAAGCCGGCTGTGGTCTGCAGGGCTTCAGTACCTGTCCCTGAATCTACCGCCCGGTCATCTGGTCGTAGTCCCCCTCCCAAATCAGCCGAATCCCTACCCCACACGCCACAGGACCTGCCCCCAGAACTTCCTCCAAAAACAAAGAGATCACGTACGTAGACAAACAAGCCTCCATTTTAATACAAACATGTTTAGATTATAAATGTTTTGGTCAAATATGAGGTCCCATACATGGAGTGCTTCCCAATTTATTACCAGAGTTTGCTTTGGTTTTTAAATGAAATTCTTTATTGAAGTTATTGCATTTCAGAGTTCTTGAAATCTTTTTTCCACTGTCAGTCATTTGGACTGACTGCCACAGGAAGTGTGTCGGTCCAGACAGATTTTTATCAGTCCAACAAAATAATTAAACATAATTTTAAGAAGATTAAAAGTCTATTTGAATTTTATTTTCATTCATTTCGCACCCCCGTCATATATACACTGCATACTTCATGCGAATTTTATCATCGTATAACAAATTTCGTTGAATTCTCATGGGAGGTCAATTTTCTTCATAAGTTTTTAATCTAGTTCGATTTTTCTCACCTGGCTAACACCTCATCGCCGTCAAAAACTTGTTAAAACAATTAATCAATCATAGTTTGGGACTTGCGTTCATCGAAGAAGCCATTTCGAGATACTGAAAAGCGTTTAACAGATTATGATCGGTCGGTTATAGGGAATTCGTACGAAATTTAGTCGGATTTTCGCAAATTGCTTTCTCAACATCTACCGGTCATTTGGACTGACACAGAACGTAAAATTATCGGTCCTTGGTTGTTTTTATCGGTCTTGCCGACAGGACCGAAAGATTTCAAGAACTCTGGCATTTGGTTGATATTAAAAGAGCAGGTTATAAACATTCATTTATTTTTGCTGTGAAATCATCAGTTATATAAACCATGTGATATTGCTAATCATGCTAATTCAGGTATTATTTTTGGACATATGCTGCCTTGGAATGATTTGTGTAGACCCTTTATCAGTGGGTCCTTTGGACCCACAGAAAATAATTTGGAATTTTGATCAATGCTTGTATTCACCAGATAATTGAGGGATTATTTTCAGTATTGCTGTAATAATTCAGCATACGAAGAGGTGTGTCTGATACATTAATATTTAAGATAGGACATTGCTTGTATTCTGGAGAATTACACCTTGTGATTGTGGATAATTATTATACCCCCGCTCCGAAGGAGAGGGGGGTATACTGTTTTACCCTTGTGTGTCTGTCTGTCTGTCTGTCCGTGTGTCTGTGTGTCCGTGTGTCCGTCCGAAACAAATTTTCGTCACAGTTTTCTCAGCAACTACCCATCGTAGATGCTTGAAATTTTAACACAATCTTCTCTGAGGCATGCCATATGGTGGGATACATTTTCATTCAAATCCAATGTCAACTTCCTGTTTGTCCGTGCGTCTGTCGGTTTCATACATAACAAATTTTTGTCGCAGTTTTCTCAGCAACTGCTCATCGTAGATGCTTGAAATTTTAACACAATCTTCTCTGAGGCATGCCATATGGTGGGATTAATTTTCGTTTAAATCTGATGTCAACTTCCTGTCTGTCCGTGCGTTCATACATAACAAATTTTCGTCGCAGTTTTCTCAGCAACTACTCATCGTAGATGCTTGAAATTTTGACACAATCTTTTTTAAGGCATGCCATATTGTAATATACATTTTCGTTCAAATTAGATGTTAACTTCCTGTTTGTCTGTGTGTCTGTCAGTTTCATACATAACAAATTTTCGTCACAGTTTTCTCTGCAACTACTCATTGTAGATGCTTGAAATTTTAACACAATCTTCTCTGAAGCATGTCATTCATTGGGATACAATTTTTTATTCAAATCCGATGTCAACTTACTGTTTCTTTGTGTGCCTGTCCTTTTCATACATAAAAAAATTTGTCGCAGTTTTCTCATTAGCTATATTCATAGCAGATGCTTGAAATTTTATTACACTCTTCGTTGAGGCATGCCATATGGTGGAATTAATTTTGATATGAATCTGATGTCAACTTCATATTTTCTGTGCATCTGCCTGTAATTGAACTTGTGTATATTAACATGATAGTGCTTATTTACATCAGAGCGGGGGTATTGCTAGTGAGCATTGGCTCACAGATTTCTTGTTGACCTTTAATTCTGTCTGATTTTTCAGTGTCCTTCTCCATTCCACATTTTGACGAGAATCACGAAGAGAAGCAGAGAGAGATAGAGGACATTGAGCAGGAGCTAGCCAGGGACTTATTTAAATCTCCGACTTACGCCAGGGATATATATATCTACCTACAGGTAAATACACCAGAGATGTATATTAGGAATCACTGTCTAGTTAGTATAGTATGCCAGGGCCTCATCGATAATGCTAAATATGGGATAATTTGCATAACGGTGAAGATTTCAAGTATGATTGGGAAGGGCTTGCGCCACAAGCCATAGTCGCATTGAAGTGAAAAAAGGCACATTAAATCAATCAATCATGGCGCCAAGATGTGCATTCAATTTTAAGTGATGTTATTTGGAAATATTTTGTATACGATTTTCTTTCTTGTTTTATTTTTGTTTTAAATATAGTCAATTTAAAACAACAAATCTCATTGTTTGAAACCTGTCAAAAAGTACTTTCGGTTAAACGAAGCACTTACATGAGGTACAATACTTATTTCATTTGCATGGTAGGGCTGTTCCCTTTCCAAAACTGTCGTAATTTCAACACAAAACAGGGGTTAGTTATATTCTAAGAAAGTTTCTTTAATTTTCCTGCATTTCATGAATTAATCAGTCAGGGGTGGTACTGAAATCAGTCATTTTTGAAAATGATGGATAATGGTCATTTCTTCTAAGTATATAATGTACACAATTTTCTGATTTTTGTAAATATGACGTCTTTTCATCATATTTCCATTCTCAAGTCAATTTTCCCATCCCATTTACTACAGTAATTAGATATAGTACACTATCCTGCCATAGACCCTTGTGTAGAGAAACATCTTGACAAGTAATTGAAACCAAAATAATTTAGTGCGCCCCGTAAAACTAATGAGATAATTAAGTGCGCCCAGACCTAACAATTTGATAAAAAATGATGAAAAACAGTCATTTTTAATATCAGAGATAACTCTATTTCTAAAATAAATTTCAAAATAGAAATGACTGTTTTTCATCATTTTACTAAAAAAAGATGAATTTCCATCATTATTAAAAATCAATTTAATGACTGAAAATCATCATTTTTAAAAATGATGGATTTCAATCACACCCCTGACTGTTAATCGGATTCGGTTAATTAAAAACGTGTTTAGTTTAAACGTTAAAAACGTGTTTCCTCACTTATTTCATATTTGTTTGTCACTTTGATATTTCTTAAAATGGCTCTTCAGATTAAATTGATGCCCCATTCCTTTTCCAAATGGGCCATAAAAAATGTTGACAGTTGCGCCATAGTCCCATTGACCATTTTGGCCTTCCCAATCACTGTATGTGCTATGAGTAGTTGCTGGGAAAACTATTATAATAAATATATATGTTACAGACAGACAGACATAGGCAAAGACAAGGGCAAAGCAGTATAGAGTATACCCTCCTCTTTAGGAGCTTAGATTGATTGATTGATTTAATGTTGTTTAACGTCCCTCTCGAGAATTTTTCACTCATATGGAGACGTCACTGGGCATCCAGTGACGGACCTCAAATTTTGACCCTTACTCAGCACTCGGGGCCATTGAACAGTGAGGGTTCTGTATCCTACCAACACTCACCGTGACCTGTTTTTTAGCTCACCTGAGCCAAAGGCTCAAGTGAGCTTTTCTGATCACAATTTGTCCGTTGTCTGTCGTTGTCATTGTAGTCGTCGTCGTCGTCGTTGTTGTAAACTTTTCACATTTTCATCTTCTTCTCAAGAACCACTGGACCAATTTCAACCAAACTTGCCATAAAGTATCCTTAGGTGTAGGGAATTCAGGTTTGTTCAAATGAAGGGCCACGCCCTTTTCCAAGGGGAGATAACTGTGAATTAGAGAAAAATTAATGGAATTTTTAAAAAATCTTCTCAAGAACCACTGGGCCAGGAAAGATGAAACTCATGTGGAATCATCCTCAGGTAGTGTAGATTCAAGTTTGTTCAAATCATGACCCCAGGGGGTAGGGTGGGGCCAAAATGGCCGATCAAATTTTTACATAGGAATATAAAGGAAAATTTTTTGAAAATCTTCTTCTCAAGAACCACTGGGCCAGGAAAGATGAAACTCGTGTGGAATCATCCTCAGGCAGTGTAGATTTAATTTTGTTGAAATCATGACCTCAGGGGGTAGGGAGGGGCCAAATGGCTGATCAAAGTTTTACACAGGAATATATATGAAAAATCTTCTTCTCAAGAACCACTGGGCCAGGAAAGATGAAACTCATGTGGAATCATCCCCAGGTAGTGTAGATTCAAGTTTGTTCAAATCATTACCCTCGGGGGTAGGGTGGGGCCAAATGGCCGATCAAAGTTTTACATAGGAATATATAGGAAAACCTTTTAAAATCTTCTTTTCAAGTTCTTCAAAGCTATGCTTAGTTATATTTATAAGGAATCATTATCAGGTAGTGTAGATTCTAGTTTGCTCAAATCATGACATGACCCCCTGGGGTGTTGAAATTCAAGCCCCCTCCCCCATAAACTTTTAAGTTCTGATCTGATATGTGCTTTTTCCTAGCCAATTGCTCAGGTGAGCGATGTGGCCCCTGGGCCTCTTGTTTAAGGTCTCATCCAAAGGACCTGCATTTTTCACTTCAAGTGCCGAGTGCATGGCGCAGGAACAGTTGCTTCCCATTTTTTATCAACTTAGGTCAGTCGCGGCTGAGATACGAACTCATAACCTCACAATCACGATACAAGCGCTCTACGGACTAAGCTTCCGTGAACGGTAACCTCAAATGAAAATATTCACATGAGAGTGAGGTATTACTTGTGAGCACTGGCTCATCAACTATTCATAATTATATATTAGCATTGTTTAATATTTGACGCTGACATGCCTTTCATTTTATTCCAATAACTTCCTGTATTATCTCTATCCTGTGTCTGACAGATCGTAGAGAAGAGGTGGCAGATCCCCAAGGACTTCCTGGATGACAGTATTATAACTCCCAAGACACGGGCAGTGCTGATGGACTGGTTCATCCAAGTCCAGGTAAGGTCACACCTGAGAACTGATGGACTGGTTCATAGAGGTCAAGGTAAGGTCACACCTGCGAACTGATGGACTGGTTCATAGAGGTCAAGGTAAGGTCACACCTGAGAACTGATGGACTGGTTCATAGAGGTCAAGGTAAGGTCACACCTGAGAATTGAGTGTTGATCGACTGGTTCATACAAGTCCAGGTAAGGTCACACCTGAGGACTGATTGACTGGTTCATAGCGGTCAAGGTAAGGTCACACCTGAGAACTGATTGACTGGTTCATAGAGGTCAAGGTAAGGTCACACCTGAGAACTGATGGACTGGTTCATAGAGGTCAAGGTAAGGTTATACCTGAGAACTGAATGTTAAAAAGTGCATACAGATAAAGGCAATTTCTCATTGTGTATGTAACTGACCCAGTTTATTTTTAGGTCTTCTTTGAACTTCTGGACACTATGTATAAATATATATTTTGTTTGTAATTAACCTGGTTTATTTTCAGGTCTACCTAGAGCTCCTGGACACTACTTTACACCTGTCTGTGGTTCTGGTTGACCGATTCCTCAGCATTCAGAAGGTGACCCCCAGCTCCTTACAGCTGCTGGGTATTACCTGTATCCTCATAGCAGCCAAGTATTACGAGAGATTTCCTCCTCAGGTGATCTTTAACATTTAGTTCTCTTTCTCCTACGCGTCTTTTAGCTGAGCTTTTTGATCAAAGAGCGATTGCCGGCTTATGTCATCCTGTTCAAGGCTTCTTTTTCTCCTACACATGATTTTCTAATGTCTGTGCTTGAGAATATTCTTATTTCTGAAATCCAAGTCTGATTTGTGGAATCAAGTCCTGAATGCTTCGTCTCCTGGTTCTACATTACAAGTGTTTGACTTGGTGTACATGACACACAGGTGCATATTGACCACTTTTGTACCTTTACAGGTGTCTGACTTGGTTTACCTGACAGACAATACCTATAAGGTGAAACAGGTGTTTACTATGGAGAGGATTGTGCTGTCTAAGTTCAACTTTGACCTGAACTCCACTGACCCTGTGTCCACTATGGAACATTTCCTACAGATATCTGGTGCAGACAGAATGGTTAGTATACCACTGGCCTATGTATTATATCACTGGTGTATGTGTACTGTTGTGTTTCTATGCCCATTATGAATGCTTAGCTGGCTTTAAAATGATAATAATCTGTACCTCCCTTAGTCAGTCCTATCACTTTTTAGCTCACCTGAGCCGAAGGCTCAAGTGAGCTTTTCTGATCACATTTTGTCCGGCGTCCGTCTGTCCGTTTGTCTGTCTGTCTGTAAACTTTTCACATTTTCGACTTCTCCTCAAGAACCGCTGGGCCAATTTCGACCAAACTTGCGACAAAGTATCCTTGGGTGAAGGGAATTCAAGTTTGTTCAAATAAAGGGCCACGCCCTCATTCAAGGGGAGATAATTGAGAATTAGTGAAAATT